GGGGAGCCGCCGCAGTGCCGGCGATTTTAACGTTATGCCTTCAGAGGCTGTACCTCTTATTTAGCTTTCTGAGCCATGTTTTAAAAGAGTCGCTGCATATTTTGTGTATTCTGGGAGACAAACAGACACATAAAACTAAGAAGAAAGAACACGTAAATATTGCGGAGTCATCTGTTTCCAATAGTGTGTGTTTACATATTAACGTGCAATACAAATTTGTAAACATGAGCATTTGAAACTTTTGTAGGAACTGATACCGGCCTTTTCCCTTTCTGCAGCTTTATTGGAACAGCATGTCCCCCCGGCCCCAGCCACACATGTACATCGTTTTAATACTGGATGCATTTCAAATGTTCTGGGTGCTTATTTGTTCTGGTCTATCTTGCTATCCAATCCTCGTTTGTTTTGCATAATTGTGATACAAATTATCATCTAATTACAGACCAAACCTCAGAAGATCAGATGTAAACCAAGGCACTTCCATCAGAAAAAGCTACATCCGACGCTCCCTCTACACGTTTGGCTTCTTAAATTTGGGTGAAACTGGATAGTAAACTGCACTTTGATTAAAAACATTATCGCTGGGGTTTTTTGTCTCCTTGGTTTTCAAATCAACCTCCCGGTGTCGGAGCACCGAGCCCATCCCATGTCCCAGCGTCGAGTACGGACGCGACGCCCTTGGTACGGCCAGTTTTATTTGCCGAGTGCTATAAATGTGATCAGATATTCCCGAGTAACCTCAGACTCCTCTTGGGAAAGGTCAAATGACTAACAGCTAAGAATGTTCAGCAAGTTCAATCTTTAAAAAAATCTTCGATGATTTTCTCCCTGTTCCCCTTTAAAAATAGCACGGTAATACTGGGTTTATATTTGTATTCACCCACTAAGCCTAAAGAACTGTGAACTTTTGCAATTGCCACAGAGTTCCAAACAATGTTACGGGGAGGAAGTACAAAGCAGCATGTAACGTATTTGTATTTACAGGCGCGTGGTCCCGCTTGGAATATTGACCTCGATTCCCCCAGTTTCACATTTAATAACTAATGATTTATTATCCTGACTTACACTCCTGAGTTCTGCCACTCACCTCTCACCAGCAGCCGTCCTACAGAGCACCCCCAGAAAGTAGCGTGCAGGTTACCCGCTCTTTTGGGCACAGTTTTTCTCATACAAGCAGAACCATCTATGTCACAGTGTGAGCGATTCAGCCGAATTACCATTGCGGGTACGGAAAATACTCCCTTGCTGGGATGGCCAGGGAGCCTTGGCCGGCTCCGAGGTGACAACGTGGGCATCAGGACAGAGACCTATGACTGCCTGAAAATACTGAATTGTTTTGTAAAGAGCCACCAGCATCTTTTTTATTTGTTACAGTGATATTTGAAAGGATGAATCAGGAGATGAAGGCAAAGGAAATAGAAAGTCACCTCAGATAACCCAGATCTGACAGTGTCTCTCACGTCATGCTGACCTCTCATACGGAGCTGATCAGCATTTATATGTCTGCCTCACCCATGTTGATGACCACTGCATCCTCCCCGGCGCTCGGCGCCGGCACCCAAGGGACACGGGTGCCGGTGTCGCGCATCCCTTGCAGGGTCCAGGCTCTGGACGTGTTTTCCGTGTGGCTGCGACCGGGGAGGGTGGCAAAAACCGGGCTCCTACGGGACCAGGCGCATCGAAACCCAACCCGATTCCACTGGCATTAGCTGAGCAATCGCTGTTGGAGCGTATCACCCCAACGCTGGGTTTGTAGTTTCATACCAAAAGGCACAGAATAAACAAGCAGCTCTGGGAAGCCCCGTGCCCGGCTGCAAACACGCGCTGGGTAGGAATGAAGTGGGTCCCGTCAAAGAGAGCATTGGCTCAGCTGTAGTAGATGGAATTTATCTCATCCAAATTTAAATATCTATCGCTGTAAAATTGTCCGTACGGAAAATATCTGTTCTACTCAATATCAGCCACGTTTTTAACTAGACAGACACTGATCTGTTGGATCACCAGCTCGTGGCCAGCAACTCTGGAATACCTTATGCAACTGCAAATATTTGGAAAATTGGAAGTTACCCACTGCATCCACCCACAAATCCGTGACTTCCAGCTCCCCAAAAGTATAACCACACGTGGGGGCCGGTACTCGGTCACTCAGCCCCGGAGATTCGTCCCGGGGAGCCGAGATCTGCAGCGCTTTGCAGAGCCCGTCCCAGCGCCTGCAGTGCACTCGCCCGCGGGAACTCGGCCACCACCGGTGAGGGGTGATGGCTTGGAAATAAGGACTCCCGAATGAAAAAAAGTTTCCTTTTTTTTTAATAAAAATAGTGAGATAAACTGCTAAGAAACAGCACGAGAAAGCAGGTTTGTTCATTTTTACAGTTGTACAGACCGTTTAGCAAGGCAAGCACGGCCCACTGTTCATACTGGTATCGCTAGGGGCTCTGTGAACACTCAAAGCAGATAAATTAGGGAAACCAATGTTGGTTGATTTCTAGCAAAGTCTCATGAAAGTAAAAGTGTGACTTTTTGTTATTTTAACAGCTTTTGATGGTGCTTGTTCTGGTCTTAATTTGTTGTCTGTTATGGATGAAAATAAAACCAAAACTCTGATAGCAACTCGATTCTTAAACCTGCGCTTAATCTCTATATAGTGCTGTGTTATGTTTGTAAATACAGAATTCTCTTATCTTAATCCCAAAATGCGGCCAGTCCCAGTCAAGCATTATTTTCAAATCTCTGTTATATATCAAGTAATAAAATTGGCTTCAGGTAGGGACTGAGCAAATTGGTCAAATAAAGAATAAAACCTGTGCCCAAATTTATTGTGAGTTATATTGTGCCCTTGGGAGCTAGAGATTATTTACAGGAATAACAAGAATATCCACAGGTTATAATAAAACGAACAGGACTTTTGGAAGGAATTGAAAATCTCATGTTTCGGGTCCCTTAGAGTTGTAACTCTCCAGAAGGGATCTGCGTTCTCCACCGGACCGAGCCAGGAGCATCCCTGCCCCTTCCCTCGGGCACAGGCTGGCGGATGCGATCCCAGGTGGATCTTCTGTGTCCCCCGGGGCTGAAAGTGCTGGGTAGGAGGAGCGTCCTGCAGGGCTCCCGGAGGTGTTTCATCCCACACAGCTCTCTGAGATGTATCCCCCATGTCCCCCAGCACGGACCCAGCTGGCCATGGGGGAGATGTGTGACCACCCGTCCTCTGTTCCTTCCCACCATGTTGTCAGCGCTGGTGCCACTCTGCGCTACCACCTCCTGGAGACCTCCAGAAGCAGGAGCATGGAGAGGAGGGCTCTTGGGGCACCCCTGCATCAGGCTCCACTGTCTCATGCCCACACGGTAGGAAGACATCCGTCTTTTATCCCGGCTTTCTTCACCTCGGCAGCAGGTACTTGAATTTACATCCCCACGCCGATAACTGAGTCATCTGGGTCCTGGTTCAACAAGGCACTTTCATGTCATTAATTAGGACCCATTAAAGCCAAGGGAACCCGAGAACATGCTCGAACACTGGGCCAAATACGGCTCCTTTCCTGACTCAAGGTCTCAAATAGTCCCTTTGAAATCAGTGGGAAAACTCAAGTAGGGTGAGCAGAAGCTCACTAGGGCTTTGAGCTAACTGGAGGCAAGCTAGATAGAGAGTTTCAGGAAAACATATCTGTAGAGATGTATACGTCTACGTGCCCACTTCAGAGTGCAAATATGAAAAAGGTGACTGTACAGTTTGCTCTCTAACCTACAACCATGACATAAATATTACCAAAAGGTATCACCTTGCCGTGGATCATCTCAGATCCTCCGCGCTCCCGGGTCCTCCACCCTCCCAACAACACGACACGTTTGCCCACAAAAAAAGTTAAATGCTTAGACATACCGCTCCTGTACCATGCAGTATTTCATAGTCAATAACTAGCAAGCCCTTGGGTATGAAGGAAGGAAAGGCTTGCTTTACATATCAATGCTTAGGAATATTATAGAATTCCACTAAAGGCAATGGTTAATTGTCGGGTGCCAGTTAGAGTGATTACATCTGCCATCTCTCAAAGAAGCTGGAATGCTGTCACTCACTTTGAAATGGCTTGCTGCATTCATCAGTCTGGATGGCACGGAGAAGTTGTAACCGTACAAGCCATATGGAGGATGTAAAGAACAATTAAGTGCTTCCCGAGCAATGGGACTTGATGGGAAAATGTTTCCAGATGCATGTAATCCGTACAGCATTTGACTAGCAGAATTGGGTACTTGTAGACATTGCCCGTTCAAGTCTTCAGCTTTAGCATTTTTCAGATTGGTTATGCCGAGGGAAGATAGTTTTGGCATATCCACCGTGAAGTGGGGTACAAGATGCGGGTTGGTGCCTCCCAGTTTTTCATGGCTTGGAAAGATGAGAGACTGTTGTCTTAAGAAGCTCGTAGGACAAATCTTGTAGTAGAGGGGCACGTTGAGGTTGTGTAGGTAGGTCTCGGGGCACGACACGCCAATGTTGCTCGCTGACAAGTGAAACGTAGGAGGTGAGCACGATGGAGAAAGCAGGGGGTTGAGAGGAGAGGGCGTCCCGCCGCTGGAGGTCACCGGCGAAGAACTGGACCTCCCACCTGAAAACGAAAACAGAAATCGTCCAAGCTGGGCTAGCTGATGTTCACAGCCAAGGAACCCTTGGAGGACTCCTGCTCCCACTCTGCATCTCCCCGCTGCCGGTGTCTGTCCAAGCACAAACCCGCTCCAAAAATCAGCTCCTGGAAAATGGGAAGGTCTGTCCATCGATTATTTGTTGTTGTTACTTGGCACTTGCCTAAGAACGATATTCACACATGTCTCATCCCATTCATTTGACCGGGACAGCTGTGACGTTCCGCTCCACACATACAGGTACCTGCCGGGTCTGTGCCTCGCTATACGACCGATGCCTTCTCCTGCTATACATACGCCATTGCTATTTTAGGCTCCCTATTTTTTCGTGCAAATCACGGGCAGCTTTTCCCCCTTGTATATAAGAACAAAAAAACGTATTCAGCCTGATGGAGAACTTTTTTTGTACCTTCCTGCTCACAGGAATTGACTAATTTTACTTGGCTTCCCATGCAATTTGAAACATATACCTGAATGCTATAGGTGTCTCCAGAAACTTTAAATGCACGTGTCATTTTAACGTTCTCCTTTCTGAAATGAATCAATGAACACTTTCATAATTTAGTAGAAAAGCAAAACCAGC